CACACACACACACACACACACACACACTTACACACACTTACACACACGCAAACAAACAAGGTAACACTTTCAGTAACTTATTTCATTTTTCGGAAAAGTATAAGTACACCACCTAGCCTCAGATTTAGCCTTATCTACATGGAAGTCATACGGGATTATACATGGCCAACTCAATGCAAACAGAACGATCACGACTGCAAATGAGTTTAAATTGTTTCTTGCAGATACAGCTATCGGATCTAAACTTACACACAATAATGATTTTCTTACAAATCAACACCGAAGGTTGCTGATCACAAGAGAAGGGCAGTGTATTTCGGGAAAAAGCAAAACTGGTGCACTGCTTAGTGATTTTGAAAATGTAAGTATTTTACGTTCCCACCGACACAAATTAGTTCATTTAGGAGGTTGGTTTATTCCGAACCTGCCAATACTGCTTTGAGACCGAAGTACCAATGGATCCTTGATTGTGGGGTTTCAAAACAGTTACGCATGCACCGCCGGGGGAAATAGCGAGACTCCAGAAAGAAATAACATAATAATACAAATAATATGACCAAGGAAGAAGTCGAAAAGACCCATGTCTTCAACGAACACATATTACTGCTCGATCCCTTGAGATTAGAAAGTCAAGACTGCTTCGCAAGACAGTTGTAAAAGGGTGATAAAAATTGAATCATATGTCCCTACCTTACGAGCTTTACTTTAATTATTCTCGAACGTTACCACTACACTGCTCTCAGCCAAACTCTTTTATTTGGGGATTCCTTTGAACAAAGTAAGCGATCGGAGCGCAGGAGATTTTTATTCATGTTTTTCTGGGGGGTCGCCCCTTCAGTCTATTTCCCATTAAACACGGACAATGTCTCAATGCTTCACACTCTTTTCGAACGCACCAGTGCCGGGGAACAGACAAGAGACGCTTTGTAAAGTACTGCAAGTTTTCCTTAGGACACATACAAATTACAAAATATCCCGGAAACTTTTCTTTCTTTCATCCTGTCTTTCTTTCGGTCTTTTCTTTTTTTCTTTTTCCCTCT